TACCATCTCGTCACTGAACGATGTCGCGGCTGCCATCAAGTGTACGACGATCACCATTAATGCATTCACTGTGACCGCTGGCAAGACGTTCGAGCTTGACCTTCTGGACGGTACCACGGTCAACATGGGTGAGCCACTCTCAGTCGAGTTGCTCATGTTGCGAAGACTTAATGCGACGGCGTTTCATAGCTGGAAATGTCACGTTCGGCGTATCGAACTGGGCTGGTCCTCTTTTACAGATCGAGTGAGTGGCTCTTGTTCTCGCCTTTCTCGCACGAGCTTACTGTAGCTCAGCGGAGACGATATCACTTGTACGATTTCGCTGCCTGAAGCTAGTGTGCTTTAACTCAGGTTCGTGGCAGTCAACGGTAATGGCCACACATTCGACGGTCAAGGCCCCGAGTACTGGGTGAGGAAGCCATAGTACGGTCGTTGCAGGCGTTCGATGACTGATGCCTTTGCTCAGGATGGACAGGGCGGTAACGGTGGAGTCACCAAGCCCGCGCCGATGATCACAATCAACATGTCCGGGACTTACAGCGTGCGCATTCTATATCCTACATACTTGGTCTTTATGTGCGATGCCGACCTTTATCGTAGAATGTCAAGGTCCTGAACTCGCCCGCTCGGTGCTACAGTGTGCACAACGGTGCTCCTCTGGTTATGTCCGGCTTGACCATTGACGACTGTATGCGCTCGATACCGTTCGATATGAGAGCCCAAACTGACCAATTGCGTTTGTTAGCTCTCGGCGACCAACCTAACTCTGCTAGTGGTTCAAGTGCTGCAGGTCACAACACCGACGGGTTCGATGTCGGCTCTCATGACCTGACTATCAAGGATAGGTGCGATACTCCTACTATAACCCCAGACGGTCTACTAAGACGTGCACAGTACGATTATGAACCAAGATGACTGCCTGGGTATGCTCATAAGTGATGCATACATCGAACGAAGCTCATCCGCGTCTTAGCTATCAACAAGGGCAGCAACATCGTCTTCACAGGGAATACTTGCTCGGGTACGTTCTTCCTCGCACATCCTTCTCGCTATGTTTGGCCTAATCTTTTGTCCTAGGTGGCCACGGCATTTCCATCGTAAGTTCTGCAGTAGGACTGCTCCTCCCGCTGTGCTCAGACTGCTGCAGGGATCTATCTCGAGCGACGCGACCGTCAGCGGGGTAGTCGTCACGAACAACAAGATCATCAACAAGTACATCGTCGTTTTCCTTCTACTTCCATCCCTCCAGCTAACCCAAACGATTACCCAGCGACCAAGCCCTCCGTATCAAGACCAAAGCGGACGCTACGGACGCCTCCGTGACTAATGTAACCTACAGCGGGAACACTGCTACAGGGACGAAGAAGTACGGTGTCATCATTGACCAGGTTCGTTTCTAGGTCACTTGCAAAGTACCGCTCACTGAACTTGCGATACAGAGCTACCCGTCAACGTTGGGCACACCAGGAAACGGAGTCGCGCTCTCGGTGGGTTTGATTCCTGTACATTGAATGTGGAGCTCACTCGAGGGATCCCAGGACGTCAACTTCGTGGGAACCAAGAACACCATCGCGGTAGCCTCCGGCGCACAACGCGTAGCGGTCAACTGTGGCTCGTCTTCGTGCACCGGTGAGCTCTCTTCCGATCATCATCACCCTATATGGTTGTGAAGCTGACGCTTTGTGTGCAGGTACTTGGGATTGGTCGGCCTTAACTGTAACGGGTGGTAAAGCTGGAACCATCAACTACAAAGGGATCACCGGGTTCACTCAGTGATCCCTGGCCCTCCAGCACTCTCTGTCAATCCGGCACAATGATTATGGCATTTACGTCGAAGTCCACGCCTGCGACCGTCGCAATGACTCTGCACATGCCTGCATTTGCACTAATCTAGGGTGTTGCCACATCCGTTCAAGGCCCGCGCGCGGCGCTCATCGACGGTCCTCTGCTAGCCTACGAGTACATTAGGGCAAGACGATGAGCGAGGCATGTCATGCGCACCGTCTACAACCCGTAGTAGGATGATCATCGAGTAGAGGACGTTGAGGGAACCCATAGGGTCGAGCACAGCGGCGTTCAGTCGACGATGGCGGTCGGAACAGAACCTACCAAAGTCGATGAATCCTTGCTGTCGAACTCTCCCGAGGCTCACTCCATGGGAGATCAGACAAGACTACTGAGAGTACAAGTTGACATGCGGAAAGTCGTGGGGGTAGCTGTGAAAGTCCGTGGCCGAACTTGAGCCTTGGAAACGCGTGGACGAAGTGTGGCCTTCCGCCGTCACGCGTGGAAAACCGTGGGCGGCTGTCTTGCAGTGTAAGTAGAATTGAACGTCCGACCCAAACTTAGAAACTAAGAAAGGCTGATCTTAAAGGCTTCTCGTGAGAATCTGTGGCTAAAGCCGAGCAATTGCCGAGATTCATTCAACAACAAGCGGTTGCCCCTTGGCTCCGCTACTCATCTCTGCTGCGACGCCACATCCTGCCATGAGAGTCCTCATCTTTTCTCGACTTCTCAAACCAGAGACCCTTATCTGCCAGATCTCGGGCGTCTCTGAAGATCTCTCAGTCCAAGACGTGATTGAACAACTCATATGGACGCGATTCGAAGACATCTTTAAGGGACACAATATCCATGTCGGAAGCATTTCTCTTCGTTATTTTGTAGGAGATCTCATGTTGATCTGCATTACTTGCTTCTCACTTTGTTATAGAACTCAGGTGTCGACATCGAACCACTCGACACCCTTCCGCAGCGGTTCGACGAGATCAAGTCGCAGATGCGGACACTAAGGGACTATGAACCTTTCGCTCAGTTACAAACCTGCAACGCAGATCAAGTTCAACTAACCCTTCACGTCTGTGAGCGGTATTCTTTTCGCCGCTTGTATTTCTTGTCCTGATGCACCCCAGGGACCAAGATATCAACGCCTGTCGCTCTTGACCCGGCTGAAGACGGTGCGTCGGGCTCGCTTTTTTCATATCTATCTACGATTGACGCTACTTGGTAGACCACAGAAGAACATTGCTGCGCCTGACCCAGTCACCTCCGCCGTCTGACATGGGAGATCCCGTCAAATTTGGAAACTACCAGAACAAAAGCCCCATCTATAATGGCCGTCCTCCTCATCTTCACACCACGTCCCTTCCGCTGTACCACTCTGTGTTCGCCGACTTGAAGGAGAAGCTGTCTGATCTATCCAAAGTCGCCGATCCGACCATCACCCAGCTCGCTTTGACGGGCAAGCTCTTCACCCTTGCCACCGCCATCTACGCATCTGAGAAAGAACGGCAGGCTGCCATGATGCCAGTGATTAAGGATCTCTTAGGACAATTTACGGAGCAGTTGCCAGTGTATGACAGCACAGGTACTCGAGTGGCCCAGGGAGACTTCACTAAACTGGTCCCGCTGCTTGACGGGATTGCGCGTATCGTGAGCGAGGGCGAGTTCAAGAACGAGTTGTTGGGGAGTGGTCAAACGCAGGCCGGTCTGACGTATGGCTTGCGCATTGCTCATGCATCCAATGTGACTATTTCATCTCGTTTCTGCCAGCTCTTACCCTGACACTTCCTTAGTACGTTGGGGTCCGGAACAGCACTTGCTGCCCAGCGGTGATATTAACCTTTGCAGGACCTTACTTCAGTATCTCCGGCGCAGCACTCGTTGACGTCTTCGTTCACCAGTCATTCACGGACTTCATTTATCTGGGCGGCAACCCTCATCAGGACATGCAACTGATTCGTGTCGCCAAAATACTCAAAGCGGTGGCGGATGCACTCGACGGTTTGGAGACGTATTACAACAGTGTTGTCCCCTCCGCGAATCCCATCGCTTCCCGCCTCATGCCACAGCCCGTTCCCCGGGAACCTCTCACCAGTCACCTCGTGTTCAGCGCTCGCTTTCGATACAAGGGCGGACGACCAAACAGCCGACGTTCACTCTTCAGAGGCACGTTAGACGACAAGCCCGTCCTTATTAAGTTCTGCGAAACGTACAGTCCCATTGCGCATCGTCTGCTTGCCAAGCACGACCCGCCGCTCGCGCCGCAGCTACACTTCTTCTCCGAGGTTCAGGATGGCCTGAAGATGGTTGTGATGGACTTTGTCGAAGGGCAAGATGCACATTATCAGTTTGCCAACATGCATCTGCCGCCAAGTGTCCGAGCCGACATCGAGAAAGCGAAGAATGTTTTGCACGACGACGGATGGGTATTTGGGGATCTGCGGCGGCCAAACATCATGGTCATCCCCAAGAGGCATGAGAGTGGCGAGGGTGTGTTCGGTGCGATGCTCGTTGACTTTGATTGGGTTGGGAAGGCGGGTGAGGCACGGTATCCGCTTGTCCTGAATAATTCAGGGGACATTCACTGGGCGGACGGAGTCGAACCTGGTTCAATCATGGAGACGGTGCATGACGATGCGATGTTCGCTAGACTCGATTTCCCCGCTACATTATGATATTTGCAAAGACTGAGTCGAATTGAACCGGAGTGTTATGTGTCCGAGCTTATGTGCATGCTGTCAGGGAAAACCGACAAGATTCTGTGGCTGATTTTCGTGCGGCCAGTGTAGTAAGCCTGTACTGTTCTCATCACTCTTAGTCTCTTGTTCCGGTTGGTACACCCCGTGGACTGGCAGGTTGCTTTTGCAGAATGAACTCCGCATGCACCGTCTCCTGCCTTCTGCGGTGTCATTACAGTAATTGGTAAATTCACGAGGCTCATCAGAACCACCTCAGAGCATTCGCTCCTAGATTTCATGGACACATGTACTCACACAGCTCGGAAGAGAACTGTCAGTGTTACACGTGCCATGGTTGATCAGAATTATGGCGGTTCTGTAAAGCTAGTCCATGACCGTCGGCGGGTACTACGTAGCATGACAACTTCTCCGTTTGTTAATAAGCCATGCTTCCACCGGCCATGGAGAAAGCAACCAAGAAATAAATGAATATGCACTCAGATCGTTCGACCGGTCGAAATTAATGCAGTTCAGCAAAACTGGTTCGACCCGGGCTCGAACCGGAGACCTCCTGTGGCCATCAATGGGTTCGGACCCTATGTGAGACAGACGTGATAACCAACTACACCATCGAACCGATGGGGGTTCCTCCACAAGAGTAAATATAAGCAATTTTGGACTTCCAGACTCCAGGTTGCCCTATACTGTATATAACACGTGCTTGATTTACAAGACTGGCTTCTATATTTTGTGCACCGTAATCAAAGATTCTTGCTCTCCGTAAACACATAACATATTTATTAGAATTAAGCCAAAGCCTCCTTCAGAACCTCGATGATCCTCTCGACCTCCTCGACCGTATTGTAGTGCACGAGCGAGATCCGCACCACAACATCCTCCAGGTCCAGCTTGGGCTCCAAACTCTCCGCAAGGCCGTACGCGTAAAAGTGACCGTATCGGATGCCGATCTATACAACCAAACATAAGCAGGGGCTTGTGGAAAAGAACTTTAAAGGAACGTACACCGCCCTTCTGGTCGAACACCTTGACGACGTCTTTACTCTGCATAGGCCTCTCGCCTTGCACGACGAACGAGACCGTCGGAACTCTGGATGCGCCGTGCATCGAATCTCCGACGATCTTCACACCTCTTTCTTCCTGGCTCCTCAAAAACCCAAGCAGAGGCTCCAGAAGCGATTGTTCGTGTTCTGCTATAGCCGCCCAAGCAGCATCGAGCGCGCTGGCGTCGTCGGCAGTTGTAGAGGATGGTGCAAGGGAGAGGAGGTAAGGCAGTACGGCTGTGACGCCGTAGGCTAGCTCATAACCCGGTCCGCCGGGCATGAGCTTGTAAGAAACGTCGTCGACGGAAAGGAAGTGGTGGGTTAACGCCGAGACGGATGTCTTCAGGGACGTTGCGCGAGCGTAGAGTGCGGAGATGTGAGGGCCGTATACCTACACGAGTGGAATGAGCAGTCATGTTTCGTAGTCAACGTGGGAGGTCGATTGGATGCACCTTATAAAACGAAAAGAAACAGTAATCAACGTCCCAATCCTGCACATCGATCCGTCGGTGGGGCGCGTACGCCACGCAATCCACACAAAACTCGATCTTCCTCACACCGAGCTCAGCAGCTTTAGCCCTCGCAGCCTTGATCACGGCTTTGACGGGCACGATCGAACCAAGTAAGTTCGAAGTTGCCGTGAATGCTACCAGGCGAGTTTTGGAGGACAGGAGAGGGAGGAGGTCGAGTACGTCTAGGGCGACCGAGTAGGTGTTGTTTGGGTTCGTTTGACGGGGGTGCCAGACTTTGAGGGTGATGCCTTTACGCGCTGCGAGTTTCTTCCACGGGCCAGCGTTCGCTTCACAAGGTTATCAGTACGCTTTGCACGAAAATGGTCACAATACACACCTTCATGCTCTCCAGTGACAATGATCTCCTCACCATCCACAAAATCACCCTCCATCGCCCTCGCCAAGTTCTCGCTCAACATTGTCGAGCTGCTCCCCAGCGCGATCTCACTCGGACTAGTCGCATTGAACATCTTCGCGGCAGTCGCGCTACCCATCGCCACTCTCTTCGTGCTCTCCACGCTCACTGAGTAGTCCGCTCCGAGCTGCACGTTGGTGTTTAGGAGATAATCCGAGATACGGTCGACAACAGGTTTGAGGCATTGAGAGCCGCCGGCGTTGTCGGCGAAGATGTAGCCGGAAGCGAGAGAGGGAAACTGGGAGCGGGCTTTGGTGATCAAATCGGAGGACATGGTGGGAGGTTCTGAGTGGTGGTCTGGCCAAAGTGTGGTATTGGAAGGAGATATTGGGGAGCGGGGTTCCGAGTGAAAGCGTTATCGGATGGACGACGTCAAGGTCAGCGGATGCTCTCCCATTCGAACCGCACGGTCGTCCAGAACGTCAAGATAGAACGTATCGAGCGTGCACGAATGTGTCCATTGGCAGGTACCAAGCTACGGATATACTGATGGATACGAGCACTGTTATGGTCGACCCTCGTCACTCATTCCTCCATGCACTGGAGAATTCAATAAACAACGGACAGAATGCCTGCAGCTCACGAACATACTGAGTGATTAGTACTTCTTTTCTTCTACTGAGTCCGAGAACGCGCTATGCTTGAGAGCGAGTCCAGGCCCGTCATGGTCGCACGAGAAAAGGTCAGACAACGCGCGCGACGCGCCACACGACCGTCAGCGCGCTTGAGCAAAACCATCATCATCTGCACCAGAAGTGTACCATAAATCTCGTTCAGAAACTCGACACATGCACATCTCAGGTCTTCGACCGATTACCTTCATCTTTCTCCGCTGAACGTGATTGCTCCGCCATTTCCTGCGTGTCAATCTCTGTCTCCCAATACTCTACGATCCTCCGCGAGTCTTCTGCAACTGGCGTGCTTCTACCCTCCCTCGGGCCATCGACGACTCTACACGTCCCATGAGCTCTCTTTACATAGTCGTTATGCGACCTGGAAGCGTACTTCACTTGTACTGTAGACCAAAGTTGATGGACTACGGGTGTATATCCTTCCCTCTCCTCATACACCCGCGTAATATGCCGAAAGCCCGTGAACAGTCCAGTCTACTTTACCGTTTGCACCTCAACACCCTTGATGGATCAATACAAGACGCACCGTCCGAGTTTCTGCACATCCTGAATCGACGACCTCGAGAGATCCATACCACTGCTGAATAACCCTGGTTGCGCCTCCGCGCTGCTTCCGCATCCGAACCCGCAGTTGCTCGCGGCTCGCAGGACGCATGTTCAGCATGGCGCGTACATTTTTACTGAACGTTCGTTCGAATGCGTCATCTCCGGTTCCTCCGACTTCTTTTGTATTGGTGATTGATGTTGGATCGTATGCAGAGTTCAGCCGCGATTGCGCCCAGTGCATAAGCGAACCCTCTGCAGGTGGGTGCGTGGGTGTCGATACGAATGGGACCGATTCGCTCATCTTGATAATATGGCTGGGTGAAAGGAGGGGTACGCATTCTTTATATACTGCGCTTGCGATAACAGTATCTATGCTGCCGCAAAGGAAGGATGACGTACCCGCTCACGCCCGAAGGCTGGCGAAGATTGGGGCGGTAAGACTTAACTCGGGTACGCGCTTGCTCTTCCAGGTATCGGGTCTGTATAGAGCGTCTATGAGTGGCCCTCGATCATATGCCTGCTCCAAAGGGCTGAGAACATCTTGAAGTTGAAATGAAGATTGTTAAAGTTCTTATCATTGCCTTCACAAGTTCTATTGAGCAGACGTTCAAGGCACTACTTGTATGCGCCACAAGTCCGAAATAGCATGGGAGCCTGGTCCTCGAGATTGTAGGAGAACGTGATATAAGTACAAGGACAGCACTACATTCAAAATTTCACACTATACTGTACTATTCCGACCAGAAGTTCATAACGCGTAACGCGCCCCTATGAACTTGAACTTGCGTAACGCGTAACGCGCGGTCGCGAACCATCGAGCGTAACGGCCAAAAATCGGTCAAAATAATTCAAATATTCTAAATTCGCCTCGGACCTACTCAACTTGCGCTTCTGGCTCGTATTCAGCTCACAGGGCCTCGGAGCAGCTCGTCCAGCATTGAATTGCACCGAAATCGCTTGAATCTGCATCTCGATCTCGCGTGAACTGAACCATAGTAACGCGTAACGCGCCAGTCTGAACCTGATTTCGGGTGAACTTACGGTTGCGTAACGCGTAACGCTCCGCGACCATGAACCTAAGGTCAAAATAGTACAGTAGTTCCAAGGACACTGCATTTAGTTATGCCTGGCGCACATAGGGAACGTGTGTGACCTCAGGTCGCACAGCGACCTTCGAGCGCAGCTCGGCGAGGAAATGATGACAAGGTCCCCCTGGAGCAGCCGCCTTCTCATGATCCTGAACATCCAAGTCAGCATGACTCCGATTAGTTGAGATCGCCATCAGTTCGACGTACTTCGACAGTATGCCAACCGATGACAACCAAGATGACTCCGGGCTTCTCCTCAATAGTCCCAACAGCAGCCCCAACCGAGAGTTCCGGATGCTCTTTCAAGACTTCCCCCATTCTCTTCAATACCTCCAGCATAGCGTCGAATTCACCCTCCTTGGGCGTGATCAAAGCATGCTCGGTGACTTTGCTTTCGAACGCCGGCAAGGGGTCCCGATCGAAATGCGCGTGGCCCATATCGACTTTGGCGCCGCCTTCGGGCATCGTAGGTTTGAACTTGGCCATGAAATCGGCGTATTCGGGAGAGTCTATGAATGCTTTATGTGTCTCGGTTTTGTCCCAGGCTGTGGGTCGTCGTGATCAGTATTTTTGAGCGGAGAAGGAGGGAGGTGTATGCTCACTGAGCATCCAGAAGAGCTCCGCCGTTTCGATGTTGATGCCTGCAAATACCCTGCGTATGAATTTAGAAGACGGGCAATAAGGAGGGTATAGAAAGCGCATACGGCAGAGACGTCTTGCTCTTCATGATTTCGACGACATCCTTGACGATGCCCAGGTCCTTCTTGACAGCTTCGGACGCGGTCCAGCGCGCGATCTCATACGAGTATCCAGCCATTGCCGTTCAAGACTTCAAGGACAGTGAGAAACGGAGACGGAGTAGACAGAGGAGGGTGTAGACATCGTCATCGATAAAAGCCGGGCTTATATATGTCCTCGATCCTCGACATGCATCTGGTGGATGGAAAGAAGAGAGCCTGAGCACGTCCGCTGCAAGCAGCTTACGAATCTCTAACTTGTCGGCGTTAGACCTATATAGCACGATTACAAAGCTGTACGATGAATGCTCGGCAGGAGTTTACTCGTAAGCCGGAGTTAAACTGTGGACCGGTCACCGACGGTTTCCAGAGACATCGGCTCGGAGATTACGCGCCGCTTGCGAGCGCAGTGTACACAGTACAGATACAGAAGAATGAAATGCAAATCTACGCGTGTGCGAGTTCATCAAACGGAGCGCAACTCGCATGCCCGTAGGTAAATATCTCTCACTCTTTGGAAATAACTCATCGACGTCGCCACAAGTCCGAAATAGCACGAGAGCCAAACAGAGCCTGATCCTCGGAGAACATGATATACAAGGACAGCAGTGCATTCGATATTTCACCAGACTTCCAAGAAGACTGC